GTTTCTTAGTGACTTTTGTGTGTTTTTTATATTTTTATTAAAATTTATTTTCAGAAGTTTTGTGTTTTGATGATCAGTGGAAAGAGTTGCTGACTATCGTCCTGAATTTAAAAAATTAATGCAAACTAGTTTATATTTTTTTATTTAAGCAAAATAGTAGTGTTTATCAATATAATTTTTTTATCTTATAATACTTTAGCAATATTTACTAATGCTATATAGTGATCAGTTTTTAAGCTAATACTTTTATATTTTAAAATAACAAGTGGATTTTTAAATAGTTGTAAGACAAGCATATTAAGTATTTTGTGTTTAGTTTACTATATAAATTATTAATTATTCTAATCTTCATTACTTTATACCTTCTTTTAGTATTGTTTCAACAAATTTAATATATTTATAAATTTGCTTGTAAAGGTTTGAATACTTAAATAATTTTAGAAATAACTAAGTTATATCTGATTATTATATTTTCTTTATTTAATTATTTAAGTTTTTAGTTTGAGATTTAGATTATGAGAAAGTATACTATTTGAGTTTATTAAATTAATTTTTTTATTATTAATTTTAGTTTGTATATCATTAATTTGTTTTATAAATTATGCTTTTAATTCTGTATTTGTTATAAATACCACTATTTTTTTATTTTATTTAATTCTTTATTTGTATTTTAAATCAGTTCTATAATTCTTGTTTGAATAGTTGTATTATATAAAATTTCTTTTAAAAATTTTTTTAAAATATTAAATAAAAGTTATATAATTTTATATATATATAGGAGTCAGTAGAAAAGAGACAAATCGGATAAATCATTATTTTGAGAAAATCATATTTTTGTATTATATTACACAAATTTAGAAATATAATCCGAAGTAAAGTAACCAAATCTGAATTAAAATTCTGAACATACTAATCATCAGTAAGTTAATAGAAAAGAGACAAATTTATCTAATAGATTTGTCCTATTTCTATGACTTAGTATTGTTTTATACTTATATTTATTCTTTAATAGGTATTGATTGTATATTTACTTATAGTATAGAAGATTGCTTTAGAGCTTAAATAATTATTCATTACATTTTTTTATTTCTATTATCATTTACTTTTTGTTAGGTTATGCTTATACAATATTTGCACAAAATAATACTTATAGATATTATTTCGAGGCATATAATTTGAAAAAAACTAATATAAAGATTTTTTTAAACTAAAATTATGATTTGCATTTGGTTAAATTAACTATTAGCTTCTTTAAATTGTGTGTCTTGAAGTAATGTCTCAGGGTATTATTTCGTGTAAACATAGTTTTATTATTGCCCTTAAGCTTCTTTTTTCATATTTATGAGTATAAAAAAAAAGATCTAAATTTTGTTAAAATAAAACTACTAGAAAATTTAACCATATAAAATTTTGAATAAAAGAATTACCAAGTCAGCATGGAAGTAACGACTAGCACTAAAACTAGTAAACTATTAAATTTGAAAATTTTGATTATGATCTTGAATTCAATAGCATTTAATATTGCAAATATTTAGTTTTCATTAATAAGTCAAATTAGAATTATTTTTCTATTGTATAGTCCTTAAAGCTAAAAATTAAAAGAATTTACTGTATTTTCGCAAAATAGCTTATCTGCACATTATTTTGATAATATGTATTATTTAGAGTATACATATGGATATTTTTTTGAAATAAAGGCCGATTTTCTAATAGCTTGATTTATAAAATAATGCCCATATAAAGATCATATCTGGGATGTGTTATTTAGGGATACACATGGGTGTTATTTTAAAATCATGCATACTATTTTTAAGAGACATAATTTTTTAAATAACGTCCATATCTGTTATTACAATAAGATTATATTTTCTATCTTATAATCTTCTGAAACTTGTATTTATAGACCGAATCAATATTATTTTGGTTTCTTGATTTGAAGAAATACAATAAAAATACGTAAAAAATATTTTAATATCAAATGTAATTTAAACTTTATAATAAAAAGAAAAAAATGTCTGTTATTCTAAATATATATAAAATTCAGACTTTTAAATAAAGTGTTGTTTCTTATATCATCATGTTAATATTTTAAAGCTTGAAATATACTGCGATAAAAACTACAATCCAATATAGTTTGATAATTTTATTACAGATTATTTATGATGATTTAAGTACAAATTTGCCTGTATGTTCGAATAAAAATAGATTTTGCCAAATAGAAATTGACATTTTGCACCAATATCATCTCACAAATAAGCACAAGTATAAGCAATTAATTTTATTATTTAAATTAATAATATTTTTCATTAATTCAGGCATGTTGTCTATAATAATAGATAGAAATTTTTATATTATTTAGTTAAAACATAAAATTGAATTTTAATACAATATATACTAATAAACTTACTAAACCATTTAAGTTATCTTTATTTTTTTATTTTTTTCAGTCTGGGTTGATTGAGCATTAGACAATAAATATTACACTTTGCTGGGTTTTGGATATATTGCTATACTTTATCATATAATACTATTGTCATTTAAAACTGATTCTGCTTGGAGTTATTGTATCTGAAAGAATAAAATCACTATTTTTGGCTTTTGAAATCGAAGAAACCTGTGCAATCAAAATTTCAGTTTCATCACTATCAAATGATTTTTGAACTTTCACTCTTCCAGAATATTCACAAGACATAATAAAATGGTGCTGCATAAGAATAGATGGAATATTAATAAAATTATAAAATATAATTTTCTATTTCTATCAGAATCAACTACTGTATTTGCCCTATTATACTCTCTAGTTGTAGATTTTTCAACAATATCTATTAAGTTCTTTAAATCGTTTGTCTCTGAATTTTTAAGTTTTAATTTAAATAGCCTAAAAAAACTATTTGGTCCAAATTTCATATAGTCAGAAACCATAAAGCTATAGATAATTTTATCATATAAACTATTTATTACTCGTCAAGACAAATATTTAATCATCGCATTATTTTTATTCTGCTCTATATAGTCATTTGCATGAATAATGATACATTTCTCACCAAGGCTTTGAGTGATGAACAAGAGATATTACAGTATTTAGATCTTTTCTAATACTCTGTTCTTCAGAAATAAGATAATTGATCTAAAAAAAAGATAAGCAAAATTTCAAATACATTATAACAATTTGTACTAGAATATCAAAAAAAAATTATCATGTAATTTTGTATATCTGAAAAATTGGTAACATAATCAAGATTGTATCAGATCTGTATATACAATATTCTTTTAAAGGTTTGTAGACGAATTCGCCTGCAAATTTTTAATTTTGATATATAGTACAATTTATATAAATAATAATATACCTCTTCCATAATCTTATTACCCAAACAAAAGTCAACTCACG